TGCCCTGGATGAATAATAGGGGCTTCTCTGACTTAGGACTGCCACTGCGCTCAGAGGGACGTGAGGCAGGTCCACTGAGGTGCAATGTTCCTTAATTAACCGCTGTTTTTCTCTCTCTCTCACTCACACACACACATGCAAACACACAGGTCATGCCTCTTCACTGCTGCTTCTCCCCTCACTATATCAGATAATAACACCATAGTCTTAGCCAGCGTGTAGTTACAGACAGATTTCAGGCTGGGATCACGTATTCTCGCCGCGTCGATCGTACGTGCTTTATGGCTTAATGCCTTCGAGCCCTGTCTCCATATTTTATCAAAATCAACTTTGCTCTCTCTCATATGAAATCCGAAGGTAGAATTTCATTAGCATGTATTATCAAATTATTACGCAGCAAAAAGCCTGGAACATTACGTGGAATTCTGGTATATTAAAAGTATAACATAACAGCTAAATAGGATGAAGATGCACGCCGTGAATGCAATATGAGCTTTTTCAAACCAACAATTTTCTCACATTCTGTAGATCTAATATCGTTTGCAATATCCAAAGCAAAAGCAATAACTTTCCGCTTTACGGCTCCATTATTTCACACGCTACTTTTGTTATGAGCGATTGTGCTATTGGGGAGACATAAATTCACTCACTTCCCCGATATTACTGCAATTTTTTTACGTTTTGTGCGCGGAAAGCCGTAAAACCAGACGTCACATTTGACAACGAGGGATGCGCATTCACTGTTATTACTTTGACTCTGGCTGATAATCGTGTGTGACTATTAAGAGACAAACGTTAAAACAGAAGGATGCTAGGGGTGAAATAGAGATACGAGCGTTTTGAGGCGATCGGAAATACGTGTGCACTTTGAAATCATGATGGACAACAAATTATATGCTAAAGAAATAGAAGGTTGAACACTTGAACAAAACATAGAGAGGCCGTGTGCGTCACCGCTCAAAGTTTCATGCAAAGGAAAGATATAATGGTGAAAGAAAACTGAGCTACATGAAGAAGGAGAAAAAACTAAAATAAAAAGGTTTTTTAAGTTATATACAGGTTTTTTTTTCTTATCAACAGTATTTGCCATGAAACAAGCATTTACTGTGTATATATAAGCATTTATATAGTATATTGCATCTGTTTTGTTGGTGGCTAGTGTCCCTGGGGTCCTCTTTAAATCCCTGGGGTCCTCGTGAAATTGATATAGACACATTTGAAAATGACTTATAAATTCATCATAATTGTATCATAATCATAAACATTATAATACACAAAGGCTTTAACTTAAGAGATATTTAAAACTGGCCTTCTGCACTTGTTTTCAGTTGTAGATTTTCTTGTTGAAATGTTTTCCCCACAAAGGGAATGGGACTACAGTAGAAAAGTTAGGGCTGAAAAATTATGGAAAAATATGAATTTGGAATAACTCTGCAATAATCTTGATTTGATGATTCTTTTTTTACCCGTTAACATGACAAGCAATTCATCACGTTGAACACACACGCACTCATATTAAAAGCATTATTTTAAGGATTTTGCCCAGATGGCATTGCTAAACTGTTAGAAGTTTGCCTGTTTTTTACATTATGCTACAAAGTCAATGGATGTGTGTAAAGAAAATAATGCGAGCTGAATAATTGCAGTCATTACCGGTTACGTATCCATGAGCGACTGTCCAATAACATAATAATAATGTTTTTCTTATGATTATGTTTGGTGTGGTTGAGTGGGTATGACGAGGAGGGAAGGATGCCCTTAGCGTGTATATTTATGGGATATGTTGTGCGTGAATAAACTTGACATAGTGTGATTTCTTGTGTTGTGTTGTGTCGGGTGTGTGGCCTTGGTTCAGCAGAGGACTGAGGATGGGAGTTAGCCCTAGCTGCGACAGGCACGAGTTTTCAATATGAATCGTCATTTCTTTATAATTTATGTATCATTGTCATTTTCTAAAGAATAAGTCTTTTATATGGACCTTGAGTCAAATAAAGATTATATTATAAATAAATTAATACCAGTTATGATTTGAGTTCGTAACTATAATTCTGTTTTTGATTAATCTTGCGGAGACTGCTTTTAAACTGGAAAAGATACTGGAACATATACACAAATCCCCCAAGATACAAACAAATGTTACGTAATTTTTGACTTTACTATTTAACATATTTTTGCATTATTAGAGACACCATAACCAAACGATAATACTACTATACTACCAAATTATAATTTTATTAAAACAGAATATTCTCTACAATCCTCCAGTTGTGCACTATTCAAATTAAAAGCCACATTTAAATAAGAAAAATATTGGAAAATGGAAATAACTCTGTATAAAAATAAAAATAAAACATGTATACGCAGTTTGGCCTATTCTATTACACGGCCATGTGTAAAATCACAAATATAAAAGGAATCAGTTTGATATGAACTTAAAGTTGGGGAATGAGACGTTATTCACTCAAAATGTCTACATTATGTTTTTCGCTCCAAAAATAAATAATTCAATAGCAAATAGTTTGGAAACATCTGACCACTACATGTCGTCTTCGTCTTAGATCGCAAATGTGTACAAACGAGCCCTGTGAGTCGCTATATGACTCTTTGGGCTGAGAACTGTGTGCAAGAAAACTATATATGAAAAATCTCTCAATCTAAAGATATGAACAAGACAAAAACAACAAACAATGCGATGTCAAGGAACGCGTTTTAAATACGTAGATCTGCTTGTTGCAGTTGGAAAATAGTGTTTAATCTTTTTTTCATGTATTTTTCTGATTTTGATTGTAATGATCCTAGCTATCGAGCAACCGTTTCATCCTGCAGCCTGATGTATGTCAGTGTGTAGCCTCCTGCAAAGTCTACAGAGCATACTCCAAAGTCAGAGTGAAGCCAGTCCAGCTCATAGCTCCAGCGGTCTTAGGATCTTGGACAGTATTAAAGACAGCTTTCCTGCAAAGAAAGGAAAGACTATCCCTTTCTGCCTTGAACCGCGATGGGGCGAGGAGTGAGGGATTAGCGGGATAAGCAAAAGGCCAACGGACTGAGTGTAAACAAGAACGAGGAGTTAGCGGAGGATCGAGGAGCACTGGAGGGAGCAGAGATTGAATAGTGACACTGCTCCAACACAATGGGGTCAGAGTGAAAAAGTGCTCCTAATTGAACCAGATAGTGGCCAAGAAGGAGACAGCTCGAGCTTGGGAAAAAAAAAAAGAGTGGAGAGAGCGGCTCAGGGAGGAGGGAAGTGGCTGACGGAGAGTATAGCACATTGCACGGAGCACGAGCTGGGAGGTACGGTCCACTTTGCGACGTGTGGCGAGACTTAGAGGGATGCTGGGAGAAAATAGCATCAAAAGTAGCATTTTGAGCAGTCGCATATAGCAAATAAAAGGTCTGTGCTTGTATATGGCAAACGACTTAATACTATGGTCTTTTTACAGAAAAGGCTTGCAGCAAATGTGTTCAGAATGAGGTGGGATTCTTGTGTTAGTTCCTCAGTTTGTATTCTTTCTCACATGTTAAAAATTTCAACTTTTTTAACATCGTTCAGCCCGTTAGGAATGCAGATGACGCAATAGAGACAACACCATAGTTATAAACGCTTCTGAGATTATGATAACACTTATAGGCGCTTCAGATATTCTTCAGCTATAGAACTTACTTCAGATATTGGAAGTACTTTGAGAACAAGTACAATAAGAAATTTGTGTGTAGGCGTACAAGTCATATCAACACCCACTGGTTACAAGCAGAGTGATTGTATGGGGTGTAGCTTTACTATAGAAGTGCAATGAATTGAATGAATATTTGTGATTTCAATTATTTATCTATTCAAATACCAAAAAAACTAAATAAAAACATGTTTAATCAAAAAGGCAGTACGTTACTTTTGGTGTTTTGGAGTGGTACTTATTTAGTCTGTAGATTATATGAAGAGAAATGACACGCTCTATTGCAACACAAGAACTACATTTTCTCTTCTGGCTAATTCTCTTGTTCGCCAGTCATTTGTGATACTATTTCTGAGATAAATCTTGGCCACAACAGTCTACCACCTTGTTATAATGTGTATTCCAGAGAGAAAAAAGTTCTAAAGACACAAGGGATGCTCTGACACATTACTTGGGGATATTGCTGTCCCATCACTTTTCACACAAAACAATATATAATTCTTATTAACAAATCAAGTTGCGCATTACAAAAATGAAATGATTTAACACAACCAAAGCAACACGTACAACAAACTCCAAACCCATGCAAGAAACCAAAAGGAAAGGTAGATCTTACAGTATGTTGGAGCTGTTCCAGTAGACCGAGTGTCTGTTGCCCGACACCTGCAGGGGGTTGGCCCAGGTGAGACCCGTGAGGACCCAGAGAGAAAGCAGTGCCCGCGCCATGCTCCTTATGCGCCTTCGCCTCGCCTCTCCCCCGTCCCGCGACTCTCCACACTTGTCTCTGAGATCCTCTTCTTCAGCTTCAGCTCCTTCCACTCACCCCACTACGCCACAACGTCTCGCAAACATCCCAGCTTCAGCCTGTATACCGAGAACAAAGGCGTGCGTAAAAGACAGGAATTATTTGCACACAAAAAAGAAAAAGAGAAAAATCAACTTCTATTCTTGCCTGTCACACACACACGTTCACTCCTGGAAAACCCCTCCCCCAACCCCACTATACTATGAACCCCCATGTGCAGGCAGGCTACACATCCCTGCGCTGCACAAAAACTCCTCACAAGTCCGCAATCTCACCGGGGGGAGAAAAGCTGCGAGAGTGCGCCAAGACGAATCCAAGCCTTGCGCGTTCCTTTCCTTTCCACCACCTTTATGTTGCGCAAGAGTTGTAGCTGTGATGGGAAGCAGGAGAGGAGTTTTGAGCGTGGATAAGTCCCAGTAAATGTTGCACGAAGTACTGCGGCGTTTGGAAAGCGAGGAGACGCAGAGTATGAGGTCTGTATTTTAAGTTGGAGTAGTTTTTACGCATGTAGTTTGCGCGCTTGTTTAAGATTGTCTGCGTGCCACGAGCATCGCACAGGCAGGCACCGTGGAGGAGGTCTGCCCACTGGCTTCAGCTGCCTCCTCTCTCGCCTCTGTCTGTTTGGTAGGCAGCTCTCGTTCAATGTCTAACTCCACCCCCTGCGAACGACAAAAGAGCATTCCTCCGATACAGCGCTGGCATCTCTCAAGTTGGGACTCTCCGCGTCCGCCACCTCCGCTGAAGTCCGAGTGAAAAGCGGTGTAATGTCCATCCAGCAGCGCATAGATGCAGCCTCCAGCTCGCCATAGGCTCCTCCACAGCGCAGTGTTGCTCCCACGCACGCATGCAGCCCTTTGCATTTTGCGCACATATTTTAATCATAGGTAGAGTTGATTTTTTTCCCTTCCAGCACAAGTGGAATGTGTCTTATAAACACATTGTGCGTATGCTATCAAGTCATTTATGAATGAAATAACGATCATGGTAAAATTATGAATACTTACAACCAGCGGGGTAATGTATATTGTCATTTACAGTAAAATCCTCATCCCGTAATGAATAAAGTTTTGTTCAGGACTCAGATGTGAGTATTGGAGGTTTTTTTGCAGACTTTATTCAGCTGCTTGTGTCCAGAAAGTTAAGCTTCCTTGGCTAAAAAGAAACAAAAAGTTTGGAAAGATTTGCTCCAATTCATATATTATTATTTTTTTAACTGACAAAGTCCTTAAATGTCTTTTATATCAGTTCAAGTATAGGACCTAATCAGTAAGTGACACAACCCTTCAACTCTAGCCTCCAGGAGCAGTTGACTGACAGGAGGCAGGTCAAGTGCCTCTTCACCTAACAGAACATGAGTGTGTGGAGGACCTGTGCCTCCATCTCTGCTTTCAACCCAAAGTGTCATTGGGTGAGTCATTTCACCCATTTAAGCAAAAACACACAGCTGTTAAGTTTACTTGTTTATGCTGACACCAAAGCTGAGCTAAATGCACAATGTTGCTGAAGATGAACAGATTCATTTTGTTATTATTTTATTTCTCAATAGTTTTTGTCAACAAAACAAAACACTGACATTTGAACATTGTCAGACTAGAAACATGTTCAGGAACACTGTTCCATATGCCCAGCAGGAGGCCAGTCCCTGTGCTGCTCAGAGTCCCAGCAGGAGGCCAGTCCCTGTGCTGCTCAGAGTCCCAGCAGGAGGCCAGTCCCTGTGCTCCTCCGAGTCCCAGCAGAACTGAACTGTTTTATTATTGCACTTGTGTACGTGTGTATCTCTGTGTAGTGCAGGATGCTCTTAAGCTCTCACCGATTTGGTATACATTAAATAAATTCATCAAATAATCTGTGAGTTTAGGCAGTGCACCACATGCACTGATTTTGACGCACAACAACAAGTAAGTAAGTAAGTAATCTTTATTTTATATACCGCCTTTTTCACTGCAAATCTGAGTCTCAAAGCGGTTTACAATTGTTAATTTTTGGGCATTTGTCTCTCACTCCGCACAGAGATGGGAGGGGCCAGTACAGGAGGCACATGCCAGAACTATTGTACATATTTTTAGTGGTAGGGGAAACCGGAGTACCCGGAGGAAACCTACGCAGACACGGGGAGAACATGCAAACTCCACTCAGAAAGGCCCTGGCCCGACCGGGATTCGAACCCAGGACCTTCTTGCTGAGAGGCGAGAGTGCTATCCACTCTGCCACCGTGCCGCCCAAGTATAGACTGAATGTATAATATAAGATAACAGCATGTCAGCATCTTAGCACTTCATTACAAGTCCAAATGGCTGCTTTGAAAAGACTCATTTGAAAGTTTAAGGCAAGCTTCCCTCTCTCGAGTGGACCAGAGGCAGAGGGCCGACAGTACAGACAGGAGTGCGCACAGCAATGCCCAGAGATTGCAGCTGCAGAAGGGATTGTTACAGTTTTCTTGTTGCCTGCTGGGAATGAGTTGGTTAAGGAGAAGTCAGAATGATTTATTGGGAGAAAAAAGGGAGGGAAATGGGGAGAAGAATAGGTGTGTAGGCAGAGAGATGAGCTGCCATGGGGGAGTCCCGGTGTCTTCTGAGCTGTCCGTTCAGCCAGCCTCTCTCTCCGGTGTCACCTGGGCTCCCATGCAAACGCTGCACACTGCATGCACTCTGCTATTTTAGCCTTTTGTCACAGAGCTGTCTCTGGTGGGACACCTGTCTGCCCTCCTCCCCCTCCCTCTTACAAGTTTTTAATGAGCACTTCTCCTTTCACTGTTAATTTTCTCCTCTGCCCCAGCTCTCTTTGTCGGCTGTTGAAGTCTTACAGGAAGAATGTGTGGAGAAAAAGGCATTCTCACCAGATGTGTTGCATTCAGAGTTAAGTATGGACTTAAGTGTATCTAGGTTTCTGCCAATAAATGATGTAGTGTGTGCATAGTAAGTTTTGGTATTCCTGGTCTGGTCAGCAGCAGCAGCTTTTTGTGATTTCTGCAAAAATAGAAGGGCTAAAAATATGAAAAACGTTGGTGTGGGTCGCTAAGTAAAGGTGAAAGACAGTGACCAGCTTTAAACTATTGGTGGAAGACGAGAGGTGGCGCTTCCAGTAAGATCTCCCTGAATAAAGCATTATGCAACTTTTTATCTGTGGTCTCTCTTTTTGCGTATTTGACCTTGTAGTGACTTCAACATAAATGTCTTTAACAACATTTATGGACATTTATGTTTGATTCTCTGATCTATGTTGATGAATTCAATGGTTTTGTAAAGTCCTCCGAGATACCGTTGTGATTTAGGGCTATACAAGAACTGAATTGAATTTAAATGTAATAATGACATCTTAACTTTTGATCACGGTTGTATCTTCAGTGCTCCAGGATTGTATTGTGGGTTTTCTGGTGCGGGGGTCCCCTCAGCAGAGAATTTCTATTTTTACGACCATTTACTGTCATGTTATTTTATATTTGTGAGCAGAGTTCCAGTTATTTTCCTTCGGGATCACTGAAAATGGTTCAAGTCTTATAGTGTGATTTTTAACTGCAAATGTTAAATAAATGTATTCTGATTTTTGATTCTGACAAAAAAAAAATGCAATTGCAGCACCTAAGAATGACTCAAAGTCCGGTCCAACTGATGCTTGTCCTATAGTTTTGTTCTGGCCTTGGACTGGTTCAGTTAAGTCATAATTTCTTTTCCCTAATCTTTTCTATGTGGCTAAAAACATGATGAAAGGGACGAGAAACGACAAACGCAGGACAACTGCAAATGATCATTTTCTGTTTTTTTCTCTTTTGTTAGAAAGCACCACACCTCAGATCTAAAGTGTGAGTGGTGGGTGTAAAGCCAGAGCCATGTGTCTGATCCATATGTGTAATGACCCTGAGAGTGACCCCCCCCCCCCACTCCCCACAGCCTCCCACCCCCCCGCCCTCTTCACATACGGATGACAGAGCTGAGGTTACAGAGGGGACAAGTCCAAAGCCACATCTCACACAGACCTCCAGACACAGGTACAGGCCCCTCGACTGACGCACAAGGACGATTTATTAACAACAACAATAATGAGAGAGACACCAATGGCTTTATGGGTTTGGTTTTTGGATCATTGCATTTCTTTTGTCTGATTCTCTCATCTGTCCTCTGAGATAACTGCTGTTGTGATGTAGGGCTGTACAAGAATATATAGAATTCAAAAATGATTGACGTTAATGATGATTATATCCATACTAATATAAATAATTCCAATGGTGTTAATAAAATAATAATAATAGGAAATGATATACCAATGATAATAACAACAATAATAACAATAATAATAATGCATATAACTTTTCATCCAAAGATCACTTGGCATTATTAATTCATGTTCATTGGTCCTTTGAACCCTTAACACATCCTTCCCATTTTTACTAAATTAACCGGGAATAAAAAACTCGAAGAATTTAAACAGAATCTTTTTCTGGAGTTTGGAGTGCAAACAAATGACTGGCTTTTGTGAGGCTTTAATTTTGGCCTGTGGTCTAATTATAATCAGTAATAAAACTTCAATAAATATTTTGCTGCTAATATTATAGTCACTTTTTTAAAACTATATTTTGAGTTTGGAATTTAAACTGGGCCTGATATCTGCCCAAAATGTTTGATTTGACCGTAAAAAAGAGGTATACATTCGTTTGTTTTGATCATTCATGCTTCTAGAAATTATTATCATTAATTTATCAAATGAAAAAGTTCCAGTGAAGGTACGTTGGAGTTTTGATTATTAATAAAATACAAACAAGTCATAATACAGTACAATTTAATACAGTTGTAAAAACAACTGAAGAGTTTAGATATTTGGCTGCAACATTAATAACTTTTTGTGACTAATTCTCGTAATGGAAATTTGATGAACGGACAATACACATTCTAAAACACATACACACTCTAAAACACATACACACTCTAAAACACATACACACTCTAAAATACATACACACTCTAAAACACATACACACTCTAATACACATACACACTCTAAAATACATACACTCTCTAAAATACATACACACTCTAAAACACATACACACTCTGATACACATACACACTCTAAAATACATACACTCTCTAAAACACATACACACTCTAAAACACATACACATTCTAAAACACATACACACTCTAAAACACATACACACTCTAAAATACATACACACTCTAAAACACATACACACTCTAATACACATACACACTCTAAAATACATACACTCTCTAAAACACATACACACTCTAAAACACATACACATTCTAAAACACATACACACTCTAAAACACATACACACTCTAATACACATACACACTCTAAAACACATACACACTCTAAAATACATACACTCTCTAAAACACATACACACTCTAAAACACATACACACTCTAAAATACATACACACTCTAAAACACATACACACTCTAATACACATACACACTCCTATGGTGCTTTCAGACCGGATCATGCGTTGCGTCGGGTTTCAATGCAAAGTCTATGGTGGCACGTGTTCGACCGTCACAACACACGGACCTCTCGGCACGCACGTACGGACTGTTCAATAATGACGCACGGACTTCCCGGGAAAGTGAAAAGGAAGGAGCAGGAGCGAAAAATCAACGCCCACAGGAGATGGATTCTGCTCATCCTTTCCTTGGGACGTTCGTGCGACAACCAATCAGAGAGCAGCAAAGTGGTCACGGGGACATTAGCGGACTGGGCGAGCAGACTGAAAATACTCGTAAACAGCCAAAACAGGACCCACACCAGGCTTCACCAGAACTCAAACCAGGGTTGACAATGGGGGACTCTGTGCTTGTGAAAATATGCGTTGTTATGCTCCCGTGACCTTATGCAACTG